ACACAGTGCCCTGCCACACCATACAAGGAAACCTTATTGAATACACTGGGTGCATCTACACAAGATGCTACATTGCCGTAGCAACAAGCTACGTCGCTGTAGCTTATCACTACGGCGACATAACATCAGCAGGCACGAACCATGACGCTGACACTACGGTGTAATAGCAATGAGCTCTTGTGCAGTAGCTTGTTGCTACTGTGTAGTTGCATTGGAAATGATCTGTGCGGCACCAGGACTATGCAGTAACTTGCTTAAGCAAGTACTAAATGACTGTGCAGTAACAACTGTAGCCTGGCGCACGTGTAGATGTGCCCATTGTCCATTATTTAACCTGCTGCCAAAAGCAGCACATGCTCAGTAATGGAAACCAACTATCAGTTTGATTAAAGGCAGCCAACACGGGATGACTATAAAACACATGGCTCCTATTGGGCATACTGATGGGGAACCTTTTTTCTTTTTTGTGTGGCCCTTAAAAAAACAAACTAACAAACAAAAAAACCCTGCTTGATGTCCCCTCTGCAGGGAACTGGCACTAGGTCTGGAAATACGGCAATACCAGGCTGTGACACCCTGCCCTTGGCGGTCCCAAAAATGGTACATTTGATCTTAGCCAAAAAAGGCCAAGATACGATGGAAATCTTTTTACATTTTATTAGAAAAACAAAGCCAGACATTTTAAAAACAACCCCAACAGAGGCCTTACAGAAGGAGATACAACAGAAAAGTATCAAAGATTACATAACACAAAACATGATAACTGACATCGCGTAGAACTTAACATATACAATAGCCAGCATTAGCCATCTGCCACAAGGATAGGTTAGTAGAACCTGTCTGAATAAGGCACATGGTAGTGCCTATTGTACTCAGTCTCTATCAGCACCAGCTCTTTTTCAAGTCATGATGAGCCACTACACCTATACATTTTTTGTTCCTTTTCCCTCGCACAGGTGAGCTGTGCTTTTCTTTACCACTTCCAGTGATTCCTGTTTCTTTCCTGGCCTTAAATGTCTGACGCATCACCAAAGAGGGCCCCAAACAGTTCACTCAGAATTCCTCTGCTGCCCCCAATCTGTCCATTGCATATAATTAGTGTGGCCCCACCCTCCATGAGGTGGTGCTGGACTTGGTTGCTCTGCATCTCATCTGAATATAAATTTTTGAGGATCCCAGGACTCGTGACAAAAACATGTGGTTCCAGTCATGAGTGGGGGGCTAATTAGCACATGGATCCTTTATGGAGGTATATCTGTATCTGGAAAATAATAACAGATTTATAAATTTTCTATATATAGGATCTACTTATTGGGGGTTATCTTATATTCAGGGTTGTCTTATATTAGAATGAATACAGTGGTGGTGGTGGTGGTGGTGATGATGGTGTTGGTGTTGTTGTTCCCTACCTGACATCCAGGCATAATGTGGATTAAGTTCTGTTGCAACCACACTTCTGTCTGTCTAACTTGAGTATTTGTCAAACTCTCTCTCTCTTTGTCCTCCCACCCCCTTTCACCTCATAGCGTTGATCATCTAACCATCCCTTCACGCTGCAGAAAGGGCATGTTGCACCGCGTTTCTGAAGTGTTTGACTGCTGGTTTGAGAGTGGGAGCATGCCATATGCTCAAGTCCATTATCCATTTGAGAACAAAAAAGAATTTGAAGATGCCTTCCCTGCTGATTTCATTGCTGAAGGCATTGACCAAACCAGAGGATGGTAATTTTTTGTCCCAGATTTTTATGTAGCATTTGCTGTATACGTAGTACTTCTTATATCTGACTAGTCTCTAAATTATGTACAAATTGTAAATGTGTGGCTTTCATTTAGAATACTGGTATTTTGGTAGCATGAGAGAAAGTCAGCTAACATGCAGCAGGCTGCCCAAAATGTAGGGTAAGATGATTCCTTTTGCTTGTGCCAATTAGTATTGGGGAGTAATACTGACTATATTGAGAAGGCTCCCACAAAGAATGCTGCAAGAAACTTGGTTTATTCACCCCAAGCAGGTGAAAGACCGAGTTGGCTGAAAAAAACCCTGTTGTTGTATGGATTCCAAACTTGATGGATAGATCAGTAACCCTATTCCCTGGATGCAGTTTAAATTTTCTCTATTGGTTAAATTGGAAAGAATGTAAACAAGCCAACATTTCTGTTCCTGGAATTTTGCTTTTATTTATAGCACTGTACATGTTGCCTCAAGCCTTCTCCAGGCTTGATTTGATCTTAAGTTTCCTTCTTCAGAAGCACTCAATGTACAGCTTGGGGGTAGTGGTTCTCAACCTTTTTAGACTGAAGGCATCCCTTTTTAGACTCAAGGCACCCCTCAGAGAATGCCAGCTCTTAGTTCTTCGTTTATTTTTTTTACTGTGGAAAAATAATTGAGCATTTTTTTTGTTTTTGTTTCAAAGAGCCCGGAAAGATTACAACAGGTCAGAGTATTTTAACTTCATGGATTCCTATTTGTTATCTCTGGGTTTATCTTATTAGGCATGCAAACATGATTTACGGGCTAATGTTGTGTGGTACCCTGGGGCATCCTTGAAGGGATCTCAAGGCACCCTAGAGTGCTGTGGCACCCTATTTGAGAATCACTGCATTGAGTGCAGGCAAGTGTATACTTGAAACCACTTTAAAAGGGGAGGGAGCTGCTGCTCAGGACCATGCAACATTTGTTATGGTGTGCCTGTTATGTGTGTATGAGCCTGTTGCAACATAAATGAGCTCCGTTGCTCAAACTTTGACCTTGGATGCTGTCACGAAGAGTCTAATTTTGAAACTGCTACAAGTATAATTAGCTCATACCCGTAGGTGAGATTTACAATGTAGGAGGAGGAGGTTTATTCTAATCCAGTAGTTCTCAACTGGGGTACTGTGGCATTCGGGGGAGCCACAAGGCCTTTTTAGAGGTGCCATAGTTCTGGCATTGTCACCATGGGCATGGCAGATGGACCCATTTGGCATGCCTTTGTTTCCAGAAAGGGGAGCCAAGTGGACCAAGATGCAGCTGCAGCAAGAGCCAGGTCTGTCCAGCACACCCCTTTTTGGAAACAAGCATGGGGAACAACTCTGCCTAGTCACAGTTACGCAACTGGGATATGACATCCAGGTACTGGAAGGAGCCATGGAAGCCACTGGCTGGTGAAAGGGTGGGGGAGGGAAGGGTGCCAGAGTTGACAGCAGGGGTCTACACTCAGCAGGGGCTCGCCCAGAGGCTGCCCAGCCACAGGCAGGGTTCCCCTTGAAGCCTGACTCCTCCTTTCCCACAACTGTGGGGCAACAGCTACTGTATTAACCCTTTCACAGCACAGCCATGATCTGTGTGCAGATCCCTGCAGACCCCTAGCACCTATGAAAGAGTAATGAAGCAGAGGATGAGCGAGACTGACAAGGGGTACTCTGCCTCAGGTCCCCATTATGAACCTGCAGCCCCTAGTTGAGCCCACACGGTGGCAAGGAAGACTCTCTCCCTGGCCCCACCACTCCCCCCTTCTGCTTTCAGCACAGCCCCTTCCTCACTTTCCTCTGTGCCCAGTGTGTGGAAATAACTAGTTGTGCCATTGGAACAATGGTTTTCAAGTCAGGTGTTGCCAAATTCAGAAAAGCTATGAAGGGGGTTCCTGGAGTCTGAAAAGGTTGAGAACTACTGTTCTGATATTTAAGTGGATTTACAAGCTGGCCGCCTCAGTAAGTTATGAGAACCTGTGTTATGATTCACTGAGAATGATCTGTTAACAAAGTGGTGTTTTCATAAAGATGCTACTAGTTGTTATATTTCCAGTAAAGTAATATTGCTTTATAAAAACTAAAGTACTTAAGAGTTGAGATTTATTCTTTTTGGATAATGGCCACTTCAGGATATACTAGAGGTGCCAAGAGTTTAAAGGTATATTACACTTTCAGTGAATATTTTTTCCAGTCTTCCTAAGTTTTCTGAGAGATTGAAATTCTGTGAAACATGACTGTATCTGTCCTTCTCTAGTTATGACAAGCCGCTTTTATAACACACCACCACTGAATGACTAACAAATAAACCAGTTAGCTCTGAAATGTTGCAGTAAGTGAATTTTATTTGAAAAAACTCCTGTGTAAGTATTAGAACTTGGGCAAGTCTCTTGGAGGCTGTTTTGACAGTTGCAAGAGGGGTCATCTCAAACAGTGGCACCCTTTCCCATTTTCTTTTATTTGAGCATTGGTAATTTTACTTCTAATCTTTTACACCTGCCAGGTGCCTTTTTTCCCAATTTATCTAATTATTAAACAGTGTATAGTGAAAGTTAGACATTGTCTCATCTTCAGGTTGTCATGCAGAATTATATATTTAATGAGGCCTTAAAATTCTGCCAGAGCTTTGGTAGTATTGGGCCAGGATAAGATGCTAGCCTTTTTAGTTCTTTTTGTACAAAACATTTGCCCCTTGGAAAGTAGGAGTAGCAAAGTTCAATCACCTGCAATTAAATGCATGTTTTTGGTTTGGATGTAGATGTACATATTGAGCCTTCTACTGATGTAAAGCATAAACCTCAAAATGTAGTCTGTAAAGCACATCAGACAAAATAATTTTGTGACTAGGAGTAGGTGAACAATACTTTGAAATGTTTATAGCAGTTATATTTGCCTTTGAAAGCAACTAATAATACCATTAATAACACCATTCTTAAGACATATCTAAATTAATTTCAGATGCATTCTTCTTTCTTATTTTTGGTATTACTCTGTTCATCTTATAATAAGCTATTTAAAATTCCCAAAGGAATCTCTTTAGTTGCCTGTTCCTGTTGTATTACTATTGTAATGCTTAGGGGACTCTAGTTATGGACCAGGGTATGTTAAGTGCTGTGTACACAGAGCAAGCAGATGAAGGTTCCTGTCACAAGTTTTTAGACTAAGTCAAGGTGACAGTTGTATAGAGACAGGACAGGAAGCATAAAGAGAAAATGAGACCACTGTGATTAGTATGAGGGTCAATAGTCTCAGTGGGCATCATGTTAAAGGAGAGTTTTGAAGGCACGTAAGGAGCTAGCTTTGCAGATTTTTATAGGCTTGAAGGTTCTTATCAGAAACGTAAGTGGGCAGTGGAGGCTAAATTATTTGACTGATCAGAGGTTGAAGTCAATACACAAGAAATAACAGGTAGGCTTGACATTGTATTGCGAATGGCATTACAAATGGAAGATGAGGAACTGATGTGTGAAATGGTAGAGAAGTGGTAGCCAGTAGAGAGATGCATTGAAAATGAAGCTTCAAAGATCATTTTCTTAGTCTCTCACTTTGACAATTTCTCTTTACATGGCAGTGGTACAGGGTTGCATTTGCCAAGGCCAGAAAAAAGCATGTTGCAATAATAAACATGAGATGATGAGAGCTTGGATAGGAAAATCTGTATCTCGGTGATTGTTATGAAGAAATCTAGGCTGTGATTAGGACAAAGGAGACAGCAGGAAGTGCTATAGTAGGATTGAGAGCTCTGTTTTAGATATGTTGAACTTGAGTAGAAGGGTGCGCCTACACGACAGCTTGTGAAGAAAGATACATTTTTTGTGACTTCTTAGTTGGTCTAATAAAAGGTATCATCTCTGAACCAAGAGTTCTAGAGTTTTGCATTTATTTTTTGTACATCCATGAGGAGATTCCAGGGAGACAGGCCATGGTTTTAATTTGGGTAGGAGACAGTAGAGGTAAATCTGTAAGTCATCCAGTCTCAGGGGTTTTGTACATGAGATTTATTCAGAGGTGAGGTGTAGAGGAAGAAAAGGGGAGTGGAGACCAAGGAAAAGACTCTGTATGTCCACTATAGACGATTGGAGATATGAGGAATAAAGAAGTTCATCTGAAGGAGTAACTAGGGAAGGATGAGAAGCAGAGAGCCTAGTAAGAGAGAAGTAAGGCTCAGTATGACCTTAAGAATGTGCATAGTCAGCTGTATCCAAAGTGGCTGATAGGACAAAGAATAAAGATCCAGTGCTGTTTCTGTTTCTAAGATTTTATAAGGAAGATGTCAGTAGGATTCAGCTAAGAGCTGCAGGTGGTAACTTTGAAGAGCCACTTGTTTGGATCTGTGGTCTGAGCACCACTATACTAGACTCTTAGTGACCTTGCAATCTCTTTACGCTTCATTGGTCTTATTCATATGAGTCAAGTTGAGGGTTTAGGTTTTTCTTTGAAAGTACCTTACTTACTCGAATGCAAGATGAGATTTTTTTCCTCCCCAGTTGGCATGGGGAAAAAAGTCCATCATTTTATTATTGCATACAAGGAAATCTCACTAAATACATTGCCTGTCATTAAACTGCTGCCAAAAGCGGCCATGTATTTAGCATTGGAAAGCAGCTATGAAGTTCAGTAAATGCAGCCAACACAGCAGGACTATAAAATACATGGTCGACATTGGGAAAATATGCTGATGGGAATCTATGATAAGGATAGGTTAGTGAATCTGAATAGTACATGCTAGTGCCCATTAAGTCCAATTCCCCTCTGCCAACTCTCTTTCAAATCATGGTGAGCCACTATATTGCATACAGTTCACCCAGAATCCCTCTGCCATACCCTCGCTGCCTGGTGCATATGATCTGTGTGGCCCCCCATGAGGTGAAGCCAGACAAGGGTCCCCTGGACTTCATCTGCATGTAAATTTTTGGAACATCCCAAGACTTGACAGGAACACCCAATTCCAGTCAAGAGTGGGGGCTAATTAGCACATTAATCCTTGGGGTGGG